CAACTTTTGTGAAAGAGCAGGCTTGGGAAAAACTAGGCAGCAGCACAAACTTGTGTGAATAAATTTCTGTTCAATGAACTTCCATCCAATATTGAGTAATTCCCTTCTTCCACCTCACTTTGTCATCAAACATCCCAGCCTTTGAACAATAAAGGCAACAGTGGAAAGGGGAGGATGAAAGCCCACTATAGTGAGTAGATTTTCACAGTACCAATAAAGGAGAATATTTGTAGCTCAGGATTGAAATGAGAGGCCCTTGGTGCTCTCTGAGCTTGGTTGTTTACTTTATTTGGTTATTTACTTGTTTTTAGCCACCTACCTTTCTCAGAGGAGATCTCAAACAACTGTGTAGTAGAATTACTATTATAAACTTCTGTTGACTGGGTTCCTAAAATAAATAATAATTTTGTGGTCATTGAGTTTTGGAAAAGACACTTCAGATTGCAGGGCACGCACATGTGTTATCCCTTAGATACAAAAAGTGAAAATATACATAGAAAAGGCAGTTCCACACCCCCTTTTCCCCAATGCAACTTGCTAGGTGACTTCCAAACCTGAGGTCATTTAATTACAGGAAAGGGCGGGGATATGTGCTTGACAACTTTTGTGAAAGAGCAGGCTTGGGAAAAACTAGGCAGCAGCATAAACGTGTGTGAGTAAATTTCTGTTCAATCAGACAACTTCCATCCAATATTGAGTGATTCCCTTCTTCCACTTCACTTTGTCATTAAACATCCCAGCCTTTGAACAATAAAGACATCAGTGGAAGGGGGAGGATGAAAGCCCTCTATAGTGAGTAAATTTTCACAGTACCAATAAAGGAGAATATTTGTATTTTAGGATTTAAGTGAGAGGTCCTGGATGCTCTCTGAGCTTGTTGTTTAGTTGCAGACCTTTCATTATCCAAACTGGTTAACATCATCAGAGAGCATCAAAGACCGCATAGATTTTCACAGTAAGATGCAACCTGTACAGATAGATACACATGCAGGCATAAGCCAGAAAAATAACTCTGATCCACACATTCATTTTACAAGTTCATCAACCTTTTGTTCAACTATTTAAAGTTCCTTCAGATCCTGTTTGTTTTCTATTATTTTGATTGCTGTTCATTTGTCTGTTGATTTGTTTGATATTAAAAGACACAGAATTACTTTTCAGGAACTGATTTCTTATATAACTATGCCACCTTCTTGTTTTCAATAAAAATTATATTAGGGGATCAATCTCAATCCAGCTCATTTTTTTTCCAGAATGGAGCTGCAAAGAATAAAATGCTGGCAAGAAGTAAAGACATGTTATGACAGCTGTATTTCCTTGCCTTTAATATTTCCTCATCAAACAGGGGAATTTAGCTGAGAGCCTCTGGGCATCTACTGGTGTATTTTAGGATTTCTTGTAGTGCTTTTGCAAACACTGAAACCAAGTAATTGCTCTGTCAGTCCTTCCTTCTCTTTTGAAGAAGGAAAGGGTATTTCCCCCCCTTCATTCTATTACAGGTGAGTCCCTTTCTCTTTGAGATATACCTTAATTATGTTTATTAGATTTGTTTCCTGGGCAAAAAGGTTTCTGAAAAAGTGCAAGGTGATTGGGATAGCAGGGAACAAAGAATAAAGTGCCTGAAAGTTCATAAATTGGAAAGGAGAATAAAGGTCAGTTGTCAATTCTGGCCACAGTAAGTAGGTATAATCATCCTATCATGCATACAGTTTTATATAAGGTACAGACATTACTATTTTCCATTTGTACGTCTTTCCAGAAAAGAAACAAGATTATAGATATGTATAGCTTTGACTTATTCCATTTGGAAGCATATTCAATTTTGGAAGCATATGAAATCTAAAAAAATTATAGTAAAGTGCGTGCAGTATTACCAAGTCTGATCTTTGGTTCTCATTGGCCTCAATAAAGTTTATATCAAATGCAGGCAAACTTTTTGTTATACAGTGTGCAATATCTTTGCCCCTCTTTTCTTTGCAAACAGGATTAGGAGTCTTTTAGAGTCAAAATGGAAAAATGCTTATATCCTCCAAATGGAACAAAAAAAGCCCCTATGACACACACATCCCTTAATGAGGTCACATATCACCTGTCATCTATCAGCAACCTCAAATAAAGATATAGATAAACTGCTTAAGCTTTTTCTGCTGGCATTTGACCCTTGGGCTGCAATTGATTAAATGATTTTCTCCAGGAGATCAGCTGGCACTGACAAGCAAACATAAAATGGAACCCTTTCAAGATAAGAGGAAATCACAATACTTCACTTTGAGATCAGGCCCCTAATAAAATTCCACATCAGGGAAGAGATTTACCACACACACACACCACAAAAGAAGGATCGTCCTCTCCTGGACTTCACATGGATTTCACTTGTGCCCAGGAAAGAAACATGTCAATTTACATATCTAAAATACTTCACATCAAAGTCCAACACTATTCAATTAAAGCCCTTTGTACTACCTTTGTATAAGTACTACCATCCTTAGCTTCCTAACCTTGTAGCCTACCTTCCACAGCTGTTTTTTTGCTGTTTTTTTTTTTTACAGAATAAAATTTATTTCCTCTTCAACTAGGTATCATCTGCCCATTTATTCAGCCACAAAATAGACCAGAATTTTCTTTAACACTGTGTGTTGAGCAATTTTTAAAGATATTCTGCTGGTGCACGCAAACACACACACACACACACACACACACACACACACACACACACACACAAACACACATTTCAAAATGCCAAAAAGGTGAAAGATGGTCCTGCTAACTCTAATGCAGATACAACAATCTACCATTTATTACAGTTCTTTATCAATGGGATATTTTAAGGGACATAATTACCACAGACCATCAATGAAAAAAGCCTTCATCAAAATATGGTTCAATGTTCGACCAATAGGATCAGTAAGTTTCCTTCAGGCTAGCAGAACTGATAAACTAAGTAATTATTGTAATAATAATATCAATATTTTGAATTCTCTTATCCTCCTTTTCACTAAGTTATTGATTTCAATGAAAATAAAGAAAATCAGGATGCTTCAATTAGCATTCTGCCTCAAGACCTCTTTAAATGTTAATAGAGCTTGCCCCAATTGGGCATTCTTTGGATATGCAGTTCCTGGTTTTCCCAGTCAGCTTATAACAAAGATCCTACTTTTTTATATATTCAAAATCTGGGAGTTCTGGGCAATGCAGGTATCGATTTCTATGGCTGGTGAGAGTGTTCCAAGATTCCCACCATAAGTATTTTCCAGCTCTTTTGCAGATTTTGGAGATGGAACCCAGTATTGTTTATAAGCATGTCTCACTGAGCTACAACTCTTCATGTCAGGACTTCCAACAAATTCACCCCATTCAAATTTTAGTTGACACTTCAATTTTCACGAAACTACACTTTCTACAGGCATCTGGTAAATCAGGGATGGAGACTGAATGTTGGATTAAATGAGTCTTTGGTCTCATCAAGATAAACAATTCTCCCATTTTCATGAAAATAAGATTCATAGCTGATATGAGCTGGTATAAGAAAAATTTTCTAACAGAAAATACAGTTCCAGGTTGACCTGCTTTGGTTGCTTCAATAATTCAGGTCTAAAGGCATCCTTTTAATGTAGGAACGTGTTAATTTAAGATTTTTTTCAAGCTTTTGATTTTTTTTAAAACATGGGTAACAAGGCCACTGTCCACATGTTGAATGGAAAAAGTATATGTTAAAAGGTGAACTTGAATCTATCAGCCCTGATCTTTCCAGCAACCTTTCCAGGGGAAGTTCTGCTTGTTTGTGCTTGAATGTCAATACAATCTTGCACGATCTTTCTCTCTTAACTTCCTGCTGGATAGAGGAGCTTGGGAACTAATGGAATAAAATCAGGAAGCATAACCCCATCTCTTTGACACAAATGTAATTCCACTTCAGGTGGAATATATGAACAGAATTATAATGCCTTTACAGACTTTTCCATTGCTTTCCAAATCTTTTCAAATGCTTCATATTTTTTACGTTATTCTAGAGAATGAAAATTGCAGAAACATAGGGAACTAGCGGCTCATTTGTGAATAGTTTGCCACCTACCTTGAGGCGAGCAGGCTGTAATTACTTGTTTCTTGCAAAAAATACATCCTGGAGGAAGAAATATATATATATTAAGTGACAGAAGTAGTGTGAAATTGGGTGAGTAGAAACAAATAGGATCTAGACCTAACTGTTGTATATTGTTGCCTCATAACTATATCCCACATTTAATGATTACTGAGTGTGCTTAATTCTCATTTCTGCTTGTTTCTTTCCTCTCTCTTCCCCTCCCCTCCCCTGCCTACTTTGCCCCCTCTCTCTTTTTCTATCTTCCTAGATTTTTTGTAAAATCTTATTTCTAATTTTGTTAATCTCAAAATTCTGCAAGCTTTCCTGAGGATAATAGAAAGCCATGATTTCTTAACTAAGAAGTGGCCATTTGTAATAAATCACCATAATAATCTCACTTGGCTCTCATGTTTCAGTTCAATTCAATCATCAAAAGCATTGGCCATTACTTTACAAATTCATCTCTAGTTTCTTGTTTCAAATCATTAAATATCTTACCACATACATTCCACACTTAAAATTCACTGCTCTCCCAGAAGTTCCTTTGGGAGATTATTCCAATTCCTTAATCAATTCCTTACTTATATGTTCTCTTCAGGCTGATTCTCATTCAACTTGCAGGAATCTGCCATTGGAAATTCTTATCTTTATCAAGGCATTCCAACTACACTTCATCTTAGTCCTTAGATCTGTAGTGGGTTAGAAAAGCCTTTGCAGATCCTATGGCTCCCAAGATAGAAAAAAAAAATTGCCTACTGAAATATATACAAAATACTTCTAAATATCTCTTGAGTGTTTTGGTTTGTGACACCTAGTTTATGTGAAAGTTAAAAAAAACTATCAAGAAATGAGGACAACAAGGTGAATGAAACTCTTGCAGTTTAAATTCGAGGCATTCTGTTAACAGAAAGTGCAGAGGAGAATCTTCAGCTTATATTTATACTTTGTAGTAAACATCTATTATTTGTTCCAAATGAATAAGAAGTGTGACTTATGCCTTCTTGAACTATGCTTTGATCTGTAAAAGTGTAATAATATTCGTCTTTAATCTTAAGCAAACTGGCAAAAGTTTAATTTGATTCTTCTCAGCTTTTGTTGTGACAAGGTGGTTTGCCAAGGTTTGACCTTGGAGACTATTACATATTTTTATTTTTTTATTAGACTATAGGCCATATCAACATACAGGTTCAAACACATATTACCATAAAATTCTAAGCAAACAGTTTAAAATGAGAATAGGATAAAAAACGTTATAGGATAAAATACAATAATTTAATACATAAACATGTAAAATATAATAAAACAACATAAAATTATATTTCTTTATCCCTCCTGCAATCTACCCTAATCAGGCCCACATATGCCGATTTCAGAAGTCAGAAATGGGTTTCCTGGAGGCAAGATGGTCTGGCTTGGTTGGTTAGCTAGGTGGTAAGAATGCCGGATGTCAATTTGACATTGGAGCTGGTCAATATTAACTATGCTTCCCATAGAGACAGTTATTGAGAGATTTGGTATTTCTCCTTGTGAGTTGCAAATCTTGTTGCTCCTCTTTATCTTGATTGCCAGTGTTCCTCTACTTTTGTTCTAAGATTGACATTTCTTCAGGTGAGCGGGTACGCCAGCTTTCCTTCTCCTTGTCTAGTTGTTCTACTGAATGGTTAATTTGAACTTGTACTGTTAAGTCCTGTTAGATGTCCCTTTCCTTTCCTTTTTGTTTTGCAACTTTTCTTTTTATTTATTGGGGCTTGAATGCTTTCAGAAGCCTGACATGATAGCAATTCCACATAGGAACTGCCAGAAGGAAGCAAAACATTCAAGCTTTCTGTTGCACTAGTTGTTAATCTCAACATTTGACCAATTATTTCAATCTCCGTTAGTATGTTCTCTTGGTCTCTTGGGCAAAGAGTATGCAAACTGGTGGACTAACTCTTCCTCTCATCCATGAACTGAACTTTTCCATTGTGTAGGTTAAATATTCTTCTTTATTGTCCTTATTTTTTTTCTAACGTTAGTTGAGGGATTGTTTGATTGGTCATTAATATTTTGCAATTCCCAAGGGATGTCGACCTCCCTCACTGTCTTGGCTCTCAGCCCTAGTTTAACAGGGACTGAATTTGGGTGGTGTGAAATACCCATCTTGGCCAAATACAAACTTTCCCATCTTGGCCAAATACAAAGTTTCTTCAGGGAGGTTTCAAGTCTGAATAGCATTGATGCAGAAATCTGCCGAAAGGTTAGCAATATTCTTTTGCAGCCTTGTCTATGGAGGAGCCAAGAAATATCTGTTAGCTCATTGGAATATACCCTGCAGCGTGAGAGTTGGGATAGAGAGATCAAAATCACTCTCCTGTTATGCCACCTACCCCTATTCAGAGGGGTGTTAGCAGGGGTGCAGTAAGATTCTATGTCTCTGCAAGACCATCCTCTTCACCACATCCTCTCTGCCCTGAGGCTCTCAGTCCACACAGGCTGGCCAAACATCATGGGTAAGCTTTGGAATGTGAGCTTTGCTGTCTGCTTCTTCATCTAACTTATTAATAAGTTTTCCCTTTAGACTCTTTAGTTCTTTAATCCCTCCATTTGCTTCCAGGAACTGGTCAACTATGGCAGAGACTGTGCTATTAGTCAGCAATTCTTGTCTCCTTTACAATTGTTCCTAATATTATTCTTGTCCTCTCACTCCACCAGCTTCTACTATAGCTGGAACTCCCTCCTCCACAGAGATGCAATTGTCCTCTTCCCAATCCAGTAAGAGGCTAGATTTGTTTGGAAGGGTGGGGGTGGGGGAAAGAAAAGAGAAAAGGAGTCTTACTTGCAATGTCCATTATCCAGGAAAAGCATTTATTCTTGGGTTGGCTTGGCCTTGTCTCAGCCATGTTGTCTCCGAGAGGTTTGCCTGTTACAATTTGCTGCCTGACTATCACAGGTCTGCTAAAAATACTTATACTGAAAAAGTACAAGGTCCAAACAATCTTATCAGTCCTGGAGCAGCATTTCCTCCTCTGTTGGAAACTATTGACGTGTATACAAGTTACCTACTTACACCTAGCTACATATACAGTAGTTAGTTACACATTGAATAGTTTAAATGTTGACTATATTGCATAATGTATTCTATTCAGCATCCATACTGAATCAAGCTGGCTCTTCATTACAAAATGGTTACTCCTAAAATCCAAAGAGCCAAATAAGAGTCAAATCAGATGACATATAACAGTTTTATGACTTGTTTCTCTCTTTGTGGTTTTCTTGGTAAAAAAATATGCTAACATGCTAGCAAAATAATTCATATATATTATGGATTTTTATATCTTTAGAATAAACAGTGAAGATATTTAGTGGTGGGCAGTTTCTGATTTTTATGAACCACCAGCAACAGGAAGGAGGAGCAAGGAAAAGTAGTCAAAAATACTCCATGGAGTATCACTTGGTAAAGTAGTGAAGAAGGCCTTGGAAAAGATATTCAAATGATCTAATGCAGGGGTGTCAAACTCAAGGCTTGAGGGCTGGATCTGGCCTTCGGGGCTGCCCTAGAAACAGTGAAGGACCAGCCCCCAATGTCTCTGCCAGCAGGTGGCCCTTCTGAGCGCTGTTTTCACTGGCAGAGGGTTGCAGGAGGCCATCCAGGCCAAAATCAGAGCCTGGGCGCCAGCTTTCTTTGGCAGAGTGCTCAGGATACCAGAGGCGTTCCCGAAACGAGGGATGCTGAGCTGGCCATGGCCTCCCTGGCCACACCCACCTTGACTGCCCAAGGTCAAACATAACTCTGATGTATCCCTCAATGAAATCTGAGTTTGACAACCCTGATCTAATGTGTCTGCATCTACAAAGATCATAACAGGGTAGGCAATAATATTCCTTAAATACAGTACTCTTCTAAAATAACTATATATGATATCCCTAAAATTGTGGGATTAGGTGGGACTTTTTATGTAGAAAAACTCTCTTGAGTCTACACCAAGAAAATGTCTAAGATCCATACTACCAGCTATATCCCAACTGTAAACAGTAAGGAAGATGACCTTGATAGAGTTATGAAAGATCTGTGGCAAGGGCAAAAATGTGTAAACATATTTTAAGTCCAATACAATCAGATTTGAAAGATTGTTGTTGGTCCCATTGGGTAGACCCATCAAGACATCAAAACTACTTTTGTTGAGATTGGCTATACTAATGATAGAACCTTGCAAACCTGATTTGCTGTATGTCTTCCTCCTGGTTTTTGCCTAAGCCACTTCCAAATGTTATCTGGAGTTAAAATATTTTTCATATTTTTCACCTCTTGTCAGCCAGCCTCCCCCCCAATACACTGACAAGATCATTTTCTTTACTCTCCAAATTGACACAGTAGGTAGACCTGAGAACAGGAGTGCCCAAAATAGAAGTAAGTTATTACAAATTGGCTGGAAGTAACATTTTTCTTTAATGGCCTGGTTTTATTAATTTGGAAGAGCAATTATTTCTCATCATGGATACTAACAGTAAATCAAAGACAGGGGTGCACTGTGCTCATTACAGATTTGCTTTCATCTGTTTTGACCAGCCCCCCTCTTCCAAAAAAAACAGTCCTTAAAAGGTTGAATGATACTGAATATCAAACCAAAGTTAGCACCCCTTCCTGAACTGCCCACCCTGACAGTGAGTGGCACGTGGCAATCTACACAGGTTAAACTTCCCTGGGTTAAGAAAGGTGTTTATTTTAAAGCTAGGCACAGTATATTTCTATTGACTTTATTACAGAACAGGTTCAGCAAACACTTACTAACAGAACACCTTTGTTCTTATGAAGCTTAGGAAATAGAAACCATCCAACATGTATTGTTTATTGCAGTTTTTAAGGGGATCTGTTTAAGGATTACATATTGCTCCTGATGCAATACAGTACATCCTAGTCAAAAGTATATTACACTAATCCTCTTCTTTCAGGATCAAACTATGCTATGATCAGTACAAAAACCAAATTTTGTGTGGCAGCAGTGAAAGCATGCAAAACTAGTACAACTAGTGTGGTAGTTGAAACTTTTTGCATAAATTTTATTTTATTAATTTTACAAGGGGAAAATGGTATTTTTGATTAAAATAGTACATTTGATTTGCTTTTGAGGTAAGCCACTTTTTTTATAGTCGAGGATTATACTTCTTAAATTTGCCTTGTTTAGTGACTGTTCTGTCCTGGCTGTGCATATTTTGTACTGCTTTAATTGGGGTCAAATTAAGAAGAAGGATTGATGGATTCTCCTGCTTTTCTTCCTTCCAAGTATCACTTTGGACAGAAAAACAAATCATAAACCATCCTTAAAGTGTGATAGTGCTAGGCTGAGCAAGTTCTTTGAACGGTGGACTTTGGTTAACAATCAAATTGCACAAATAGGCCATAAAAAAGGAGGTGCATTTTAATTATGTCTACTAAGCACATGAAGATTTCTGATAATTAATTATGCAGATAAAATTGTTGGGAACTATTTACAAAGTGGTGGAAGTTGACCTAAATCCCTACAATCAAACTAAGAAATAAACTTGCATGATGTTCCTGGTGAACTTGGTACCTACTTCTTGTGGCTTGATGCCTGAAGCTCAATTTTTCTTTAACTGTAGTTTGTATTAGATTTTATTATTGTAATCAAAAGGCTGGCAAGAAAGCACAATAACAGAATCTTCCTGTGGACCATTTCTGTAATGTGTTGGCTCAAGGGAAAATCTTCCACTTTGTCCATTGCTATGGATTTTCCTTGTTTGGCAACAAACACACATAGCCTAGCATGCTTTGATTGATCCTGCCTGCTGCAGCTGACCCAGGCAGACCACAGAGAGTGATGGCTGAATCAGCTGCTGATGGAACATCAGAATGGTTTGGTACACTACCCTTCTTTATAAACAACAGACCCAAACCAACACAGAGTCTGTTCATATTATATAAGACCAGCATTTTGCTTCCTCTTCTGTTTACTGGCAGAATAGAAAAACAGAATAAAGAAGCATTCTTAGGTGATTGCTTCAATTCCCTTCACTTGTCTACTAAAGATCTTTCTGCTACAATATTCTATGATCCTTTCTTCATTAGTTCTTCATTCCACACAGCCACTGGAATGCCTAGGTAAGCACACTTTGATTCCAAGCTGATTTATCCTCCTTATGCCATGAATCTTCTTGTCATGTCACAAATGTCACCATAATCAATACTTATGTCACTAGATAATGTGCTATTTGCAAAATGACATCATTTATTTATTTTCATTTATATATCAAATTCAAAGACTGCCACCTCATTCATGCAAATGCTATCATTTTGACCTAATTTTGGCTGTGAATTCCACAATTTAATTATCTGGTGGATAAAAAATTGTTTAGGGCTAAGCAAGAAATTTGAAAGAGATAACATGAGCAGAGCATTCTCTTTGAACGATTAAAGCACTCACATCGTTTAGAAAAGTCTATATTTTCCAGTTGTTTCCACACGTGTTTGGGTGCATAGCCTCTGCTTGTATCCACAAGAGAAGCGGTGTCTAGCCCTGCAGATATTTGTACAAAACACAAAAAAGCAACTGGAGAAGCCTTTCAATTACACAAGATTCCTTAAGAACACAGATGTTTTAACTGTGCATGGAAAGATGCCTTGCTCTGGTTGTAATAGTGTGGCAAAGGACAAAATTTTACTCAGTTTTAGATAATCATACACAGCTGCATGTCTGAAACTGTGTGAGGGTGATTTAAGAATAGTCCCACTAAAGATTATTATATTAAAAGATGGGATGACCAGCCTAAGGTCCCAGGCTTAGTTTTGCAGATTATATTGCTGAAATTCAGCAGCAAATTGTTGGTGCTTTTGTTCATGTGATTTTACAATGTTAAATCTATACACTTTGCAAAGTTAATCTTAAAAATAAAGATGTTAAGGCAACATTTCCAGCTTGGGGGACCAGTGGATATGGCAGAGGTGGCAGAAGTGGGGTGGGGGAAGAGGATAGTTTCATGTGTGCACACCACTTTTACAAATGTAACATTGTGCGTGCGCATGCTCGTCCACCGGTTCTGTGGTCCAGTTCTGAATGGAATCCTTATGTTAAGGCTCTGTTAGGTTAAATAAACAGTTTGTGTAATTAGCCACCACTCTTCAAATAGTCTCCCTCCCTCCATCTCTCTTTCTGTCATCTTCCTCTTCCTCCTCCTCCCTCCTCTCTCCTCCTCTTCCTCCTCATCTCTCCCCACTCCCCTTCTCATAAGAACAACAAATAAAAAAATAGCAACATTACCACTAGTGAAACCACTGAATTATCACCCCATGGCTTTAATTCTTTTTAAACACATATCACCGCTACAGGGGTATCACTAGGTATGGTCAAAAAAGCCAAGATGGCAATCACAACTCTGTAATAAAAGCTCTCCTGTTTTTTAAGTGAGATTTTTTTACTGTACCCTGTGGACATCGTGAACCACTCAAAATAAGATTGATAAAAGGACAAGGTTTAGGAACCTATGTGACTTAATGGTTAAAGAAAAGAAAATTAGGTTCCAGTTTCTGATCAATTATGAATTTCTCTGGTTGATTGGCCTTCCTTTCACCTTAAACTATTTCACCAGGAAAGTTATTATGAAGTAAAATGAATATGAGAAATCTATATAAACTTCAGTGGCATGTCACTTAATCAGTGAATAGTATTATTCATTAACTAACAAATAGGAATGCAAGCTTTGCTTAATTCCAAAATCAAAACAGCAGCAGCAACAACTATAAAAATCTGCTAAGTCACTATTAAAATTTATACCCTCTGAAAAACACAATCTAACCATTTGATTTGAATGAAGCTATAAATGTCGTATTCTGATATCCCTTTTATTAATCACAACTATGTACACTAATACAATCTTATTTATATAGGCACATGAAATATTTCTTCTCTTTGTTTATTATAGCAGCAGCTGGAAATAGAATTACTGAATCATTGTCCATTTCAGTCTGTTCCAACACTGGCTTTGTTTTCAAATTAAGGGTGATTTCTGCATCATACTTTAGAGGTACAGAATCTCATGCTATAAAATCTAGGACTATGAGGCCTGTGCTGCAAAAATCCAGATGATAGATAAAAAGATATAGAAAAAAAATTACAGAGACAATCCGGTAGCTCTGATAAAATCTCACATTGCATCTCACTGTCCGCATTCATAATCCTTGCAACAGTAGCCACAATGAGTTCCTTTGCACTTAGTCCTCTGTTGTGCTCTGTGCTTGAATTGCTTCCAGTTGCATTGCGATATAGAGAATCATGTGCCGCTTTACACACTATTAAAACAGTCACACAACTTGTAGCTTTCATCCAAAGACTAGCAGAAAAGAATAAAAATGAAAGAAAAAAGTGAAAGACTAAGTAATATCCCCCTTTTTGGTTAAACTCTTGTTTATCCAGATATATTTCCAAAACAAAACAAACAACCTCCCCCACCAAAATACCTAACCTTTGTTTCCTTTGATTCCCTAATCCCCTCATTCTGCTAAGGTAACACTTGATAAGGGAGATGTACAGCTTTTACCTTGGTTTTGCTGTAGGACAAGGCTTCCCCCTTGTTTCTCTTCCCGCAGCTTATGCACAGCAGTGTTGTGTCTCTTTGCAGATTGGACTACAAGAAACATTTCTAGAGCAACTGCACTATGAACATTTGGAAACTCCATAGTCCCCATCAGATCATTGCCCCTTCTCTCTTATAGCGACTGATTGTACTGTCTGTAAGGACAAATACTGTGCACCTTTTGCTTCCCCCTATATCTAAATGCACCCACCCATACATGCTTGGAAACACACACACAAGCTTCTGGATGATCTTGTTGGTGCTCTATAGTGATCTGACCTAAGGGCAGGTTACAAGTCAGTTTTGAGAGGAACAGATCTATTTCCCAAACCTGAAGGAGATGGGGTGAGGGGAGCGGAAAGGTCAAGTTTCAGATCGTGTCCTCTTTAAGCCTTTTCCTTTTCTGGCTACCCTTTCAGCATGAAATCCTTGCCCACACATAAATCTTGCTAATACTCTGTTGCTGTCAAAGAATTTAGTTTGTGAAGCTTGCCCATTCCCTAAAAGGATTTTTCCTTGATTGACAAACTAATGCTTGGACTTAAAACAAGGCTTTAGGGTGAGCTAGAAAATCAGTGAAATTTAACAAAAAATAGCAAAAAGGAGAGAAATGATCTGGATGTTCTTTGGAAATGGAAGTTGTTGATATTGTCCAAGATTTCCCAGAAGATCTCTGAACTCAGAAGGAGGTTCCAACTTGTACTGGTATCTACTAATGGACAGACAGTAATAGATTCAAAGAAGCTCTATCAAAGTTGGAAAGAACTTATTGAAATTCTGCATGGTACAGAAATAAATGTTTATAATATCTTAGAATATATTTTCTACTTGCAAGAACCTCTAGTACTAGAAGATGAAGTTATATTAGCATTTTGGCCAAGTTGGATGCTAAAAGAATTGATGGACCATAACCGTGATGGTGAACCTACAGCATGCATGCCAGAAATGGTACACAGAGCCCTCTTTGTGGGCACGCGAGCCATTGCCAGCTGCTCTTCTGGTTTCAGTCCAGATGTATCTCCTCAGGGGACAGGACTTGCAACATTCCTTCCGTCTACACTCTAGCGAGTCAGCTGGATGCAACCGGCAAGCGATGGTCCTTTAGATAACCTGGTCCCTGGTTTCCTTGCCCACAAGGAAGATTTGCGGTGTTCATTTTGGTATTCTTTGCTGTCAAATCCAGTGGTTGACTAGGCCCATGCTTGCCGAATGAAGCCACCTCTGGGCAGAACAAAGTAAATGGTAGCAGAGAGGCATAGCAAAATGTTTGGCAAGGCTGGTCCTTGAAGAACAAGATGCTTGTCGTCTTCCATATCAAGTAGCAAAAAAAGTCTGTGGGCTGGCAAGTTGTTAAATTGATGCATCTTTAACCTTTATTCTGCAGCACACAAAGACCAGCTGGTCTTTAAGGGCGCCTCAGCGCATAAAAACGCCCCCCAAAATGCCCCCAAAACAGGCATGTGCGCACCGGCCAGCTGGTCTTTGTGTTTCCAGCACTCTGACATACTCACATGCATGCACATTCTGGCTTGGGCACTTGGTGCGGAAAATGTTCGCCATCACTGGACTATAACAAGCAATAAAACAGAACTATGTGACGGATTAACCAAACAATGCCAACAAATCTGAATAAAACATAGTGCCCAACAGGTTGAATGAGATCATTCTATACCAAAGACAGAAAACTTCAAAGAGTGTGTAAGCTATCACATAATAGCTTTAATTTCACGTGTTAATAAAATAATGCTTATCAAGATAGTTTAAAGTCCTGCATGGGAAGATTTCAGTAGTTGAAGCTAGCTTTAGAAATGCCTGAAGAACAAAGGACATTCATCCTCCTGCATTCTGATAAAGCCAAAGAGTACCCAAAATAAGTTGTAGCACTATGATGGGATATATAGTGTTATTGTGGAATTTTGTGAGTTACATGTTGTTGTAAGACATTTAAAATTATAACCCATCAAATAGTGGCTATAAAAATTTTCAATCAATCAATTAACCCTCAATAAATAGAAAAGAGCAAAATATTCAGTCCTGAACTTATTTTTTTTTAATTAATGACTTATACGAGAGATTGAAAAAACCAAGACACTTTACCCTTGAAGGAAGTGAACAACAGAAAAAGTCTATTTTTCAGAAAGAAACTCTGATCTGCTGCAATTTCACCTGTTTTTTTCCCCCCAGCTCTGGTGTTCATATCTGTTAAGCCAGACTCTCATGGAAATCAATTGGTTCATGCTCCCATCTAGACTGGTTCCTATTGGCCTCTGGATTCTTTCATAGGAAGGGCAATTCCTGTGGAGAAAGACAACATAAAGATGGGATTTTAAAAATCTAATAAATAAATACTTTGATATTTTTAGATGCCCAAAAGGCATTTGATAATGTGAACTGGAGATTCATGTTTTTGTTATTGGAACAGATGGGCTTTGCTAGAAAATTTATTCAAGCAATAGAAGCCATATATGATAAACAAACGGCAAAAATAATGATAGAGGGAGAATTTACAGACTCTATTAATATAAGAAAAGGCACAAGACAAGGATGCCCATTATCACCTTTGTTATTTGTATTGACTTTGGAAGTTCTGAATAGAAATATTAGAGAGGATCCAAATATAAAAGGAATGAAAGTTAAGAAGGAGGAATTTAAACTGCAAGGCTTTGCGGATGATTTGGTTTTTATTCTGGAAGATCGTCTAGAAACAGCTTTAAAACTATTGGAAAAGATAGAGATGTATGGTGAGATGGTGGGTTTGAAAATAAACAAAGATAAAACAAAGATTTTGACAAAGAATATGCTACTAAAACAAAGATGAATTGGCAGACATATTGAAAATTCAAGTTACGAATAAGGTTAAATATTTGGGGATACATTTGACGTCAAGATGTACCACATTGAAAGAGAATAACTATATTAAACTTAAACAACAGATAGCATCTGATTTGAAGAAATGGGAAAACTTACAATTGTCATTGATAGGTAGAATTTCAACAATCAAGATGAATATTTTGCCCAGAATTTTATATTTGTTTCAAACTATACCAATTAGGCTTGGTAAAGACTACTTTGAAGAATTAAATAAAATTGTGTTGAAGTTTATATGGCAAGGTAAGAAAGCGAGAATAAAATTAAAACTTCTACAAGATGCTAGAATTAGAAGAGGATTTGGCCTTCCGAACTGGGAGTTGTACTACCAAGCTGCAAATTTAATGTGGGTTAAAGAATGGATAACATTAAGAAAGACTAGATTGTTGACATTAGAAGGACATGATTTATTACTGGGATGGCATGCTTTTCTGTGATATAAGGGAACTAAATCGCAGGGCTATTTTAGAAGGCACTATATAAGGGAGTCTTTATGGTTGAATTGGGAGAAAATTAAGATAAAATTATTATATCTGGGAGGACGGTTCAAGAACGGAGGCAAGACTCAGATAGTAACTAAAGCTCTTTATTTGTGACTTCAGATCTGAGCAACTAACCCCAGCCGCAGCAGCCCCTTATATAGGGCTGGCTGCGGCTAGGCAGCCAATGAAGGCGATTTGAGTTTGCCGCTCTTGGCAGGGCCAATTGCGGCAGCCCATTTACTGGCCAATCGCATCAGTCTATGGCGACCAATCACGATCGGCTTTCAGCGGGCTAATCAGATTTGCAGGCTACGAGCCTGCTAGTCCGGAACAAAAATGTTATTTGAAAATCCCAGTCTGGTTATCAACTATTGAAGCTTTTTCTTATCCTATAATATATGAGAAGGAACAAACAGTTAGATATGGGGAAATATTGGATGAAAAGAGTGAACTTAAAACAATGCAAAAACTAGAAGAACAAGGCATAAAGATGAATTGGTTCTCATATGCGCAAATACATTCAAGGTATCTTATAGATTCTAAAATGGAGGGATTTTATGATAAATTGACAGATTCAGATAGGATTTTGACAGGTACTGATGAAAAAGTGATTAAAAATTATACAGTTATCTGTTGGAAATTATATTAGAGGAGGAACAAGTTAAAGAAATGATGATTGTTTGGGGGAAGAATTTTGGATATGGGATTGATTTAGAGAAATGGGAAAAATTGTGGTCTCAAAATTATAAAATGACAATGTCAACAGCATATAAAGAAAACTTGAATAAGATGTTTTACAGGTGGCATTTCCCCCCGACAAGAATAGCAAGAATGTTCAAGAATAAATCTGAAAAGTGCTGGAAATGTCATCAGATACCTGACTCATACTACCATATGTGGTGGACTTGTGAGGATGCTAGAAAATATTGGACTAAAATTCGCATATGGTTGGAAAAAATGATAAAGACACATATAGACTTGAAACGAGAGATTTTTTTTTATTGGGAATCTTACCTGATACATATAATAAAAATGTGAAGTATTTGATGTATTAACAGCGGCTAGGATTGTATTTGCTAAAAACTGGAAGAGTGAGAAAATTCCATCAGAGGAAGAAATTATCAAGAAAATATTGGATTGTGCTGAAATGAGTAAATTGACATTTGAAATTAGAGAACAAGAAGATAAACAATTTTATGAAGCTTGGGATCTTTTTTATCAATGGTTAGATAATAAAATACAATAATAGAATATTTAGATTTAGGATATATATTTTTTTGATATTATTTTTATAAAACTTTATTAAGATAGATTTGGTATGATCTTACGATTCATTGCAAAATAAATTAAGTAAATTATAGTTATCTCATTAAAGTATGAATTAATAAAATTATAGTTAAATGATTTCTTAGTAATGATACTAGTTTATACAATTGTAGATTGATAATATGAGTTATTATGTAATATAATTATATTAGCGTTTAGGAAATGGATGCACAAAAAAAAAGTGGTAAACCAACTGATACACTGTTTGTAAATTTATGAAGAAGGATGATGTTTTTATGTTGTATGTTTTATGTTGTTTTGTTTGTTGTTAAAATAAAAAACTTTTTTTTAAAAAAAATCTAATAAATAAATACCCATATAATACTAATTAATTGAATTCATCTTAAAATGAATTGTGAAACTTAGATCAGATTTATGGTACGCTATAGGTGATTTTCAATTCTTTTATTCTCTTGATGATATCATATACTTGTTTTGACCAAGGCTTCCTGAGAAC